AGCTGAGAGGTAGCAGAAGTTGGTAGTCAGACATGAGTGAGTGCTCTTATGTTAGCTTCAAATCTAACATGGACATAGCACATGCCAAGGAATGTTTAAGGTGAACTACAGAGTTTTTAAAAAGTCCCTGATCAGTAACAGGCTGTCTGTAAACAAATAATTCTGCAGTTTAAAATACCAGCAGCAGGGCACACACATTTCATGTGTGCTGTAGCCTCCTGTCTGTGGACATGAGCAGTGCATCAGCAGCCTGCTCATGAACTCTCTGGTGCGATTTGCTGCCATCAGCACAGCTCATTAATTTAAATTGCATTAAAAAAATCTTTGTAAGCAATGGTGGGGGTTTTAGTCACTGCATTTTCTCAGGGTTTCTACTCCATTTGGACAAGGAAAGCAGGCTGATCAGTTTCTCCTTTATAGTGCATTTCAAGTCAGCTTGCTTTGATTCCCATGCACTAGCCAAGTGCTGGTGCATTTGGGTCCCCACACTAGAAGGGAACATTTAAGTATTGAACATGTTTTTTGTGGAAGCCTTTAAAAAGCAAACATGAAAACACTGCTATTTAATAGTCACAGGAACTACAGTATTATGGAGTTAGGGTGGAGAGGTCTTGTCTGTCAGGGTAAAATGCCTTACCTAGATGTTGTAACTATCCCCAAACCAAGTGTAAGTGGGGGAATGGTCCCGCTATTGTGGGGAGCTTTCCTGGCTCCTGCAATATCCCAGTGGAATTGGCTAGTGAAAGGATCTGTGTCCTCTCTCCCACTACCTTTACCCAGAGCCCTGCCTGACTTTGAGGGCTCCCCTTCCGCTCTCCTGTGCGGCAGAATCCTCGGAACCCTGACAAGGCTAGGCCCGAGATTCCTGGGAGGCTGAACCGCCAATCTTGTCGTGGTCACTTAGGACAGGGGCTAGGGTGTCCCCACTCTGGGGTGCTCTCTCCTACTTCCCTGGCCTAGTGAGCACTACATTAAGTTCAAACCAAATATAATTTATGAAACAGAATCTGTAAGAAAAATAAGTTTAAAATGGAAAAGGGTAAAGGAAATAAGGAATCCTCCCTTATGGACACAGGGAACACCACAAACAGCCATCTCAGGGATGTATGGAAAGTTCACAGACTGTTCCTCACCTGTCTGAGGCCTCCCTCTCAGGACTTGGCTGCACTGCGGTGATATTGTGGATCAGACGCCTGCTCTGGCGGTAGCCACACGCCCTCAAGCGCTAGGTGCCAGGGACCCTTCTCCCCAGTATTGGCCCCTCCCCCTGTCAGCTTCACATTGGCTTCCCTCCTCCTTCTCCTCCCCCCACCCTGGCAAGCTTTCAAGGCCCTCTTGTGTGGCAACGTCTCCTTCCACTCGGCCCTCTGTCCAGGGTCCCACTTCACTCTCTCCAGCCCCTCACTGCGCTCAACAGTAGTGTTAGTTGTGGCATGTCTGGCTTCTGCTATCCAGCCTTTGGCCCCACAGCTCCGCACTGTAGCTCAGCCCTGACTCACCATAGGCACGGATGATCTGTGCTTCCCCAGCTCTCTAGCTCTGCCTCTTCTGGCTCAGTGCTGTTGCCCTGCCTCCAGCCCAGCTCTGGCCCCAGCCCCACTCTGCCTTCTGGGCTGCTTCTCTGGCCCCTCTGATGCTGGCTGCTGCTCTGCCTCCAACTCAGTTTGGGCTGCTGCTGTCCCCTTAGCTCTGCCCTATCCTGGCTGCACCTGACACAGAGGAGGGGACTCAGGCTCCTGACTCTCTCATTGGCTTGCCCACCCTGTCAATCAGGCTAACCTGGAGCGTTGGCCTCTCCCCATTGGCCCTGGGGACTGCCAACTCAAGATCTTCATTTCTCTTTAGCTCTTCTCCTTTCTTTTGGTATTGGGAGAGGGCCAACCAAAAAAAACCCCACCCCACTAAATTTCAGTAAGGGGCCATCACAAGCATTATAAACCCAGGAAATATAGAGCTAAGGTTCAATTTAAAAGAAATCTAAACATGCCTATGATCTGGAAATGCACCAAAGTAACGCAAACAACCTTAACTGTCCCCTGTAGTGAAACTATTTCAATGTTTATAGTCCCAGAGTAACTTAAACTGATTTTAAAAAACATTATATAGTCTTCTCCCCCCCTTCATGTCACTACAATGTTGTTAAGGTGTTTTGGATGCTCTAGTCATGCATTTTCAGGCCTTGAGCTGTTTGAATTTCTTTGAAGTTCAGTCTTATTTCCTGGGTTTATAGTGGTTGGTTTTGGAATAATTACAACGTCCATGCAATGTAGTTTACGCTAAAATATTGACGTGTACGCTCAACCATTAATCAATCTTAATTTATACTTTCCCTGGGAATTTCTTTGCTTGATGGGTTTTTTCAAATTATTGAAGTATTATACATGAACATTAAACAAGAAACCCGAAGAGAATATAAATATGTAATATTAACTTTGAATCATTTTTTTTAAATTTTAGCTCATACAGCTAGATTAACCCCGTCACTCTGGTTGCCAGTGTTCTGGTCAGTTAAGATGAGTTTATGCCAGTTTTATATCTCCAGAGCCAAACAAAGTAGCTGGTGTGTGCACTTCGGTGGTGCCCCTGTCTCCTGACTTCCATGTTACCCTGCACGCAGTTTCCTCTCACTTCTGCACCCCATACATTCCCCTGTTCACAAACCCTAGTTTTCCTCTGCTCATTGAGTAGATCTGGTAGATAGTTTTTGAAAATACCTGTTTTAGGATTAATTATCATGTTTGTTGTTTTTAAAAAGTGCAAATATATTCCTCAACAGAAGGTGAACAATAAAATCTTCTCTCTGATGAACTCACGAAGAATTACCATCTTTCAGAATGGCTGCCATATCCTATCAGTTGAGACTGAGGCCACAGGCTGTACACAGTTAAGATATCCTCTTTACAAACGGACACTGCCTTGGGAGTGAAGCCAAGCTACTTTCAGGGAAAATAGCGGCCTTCTTTATTTTTGGAAAGTAGAGAAAGGAGCACTGTGAGGAGCAGCTGAAGGCAGGCAGTGAGCCATCTTTGCTAAGGGCAGCCTGTACCTTCAGCCCCATGGAGAGCAATAGGAGATGGCAGCTCCTTTGGAAGAGGGCAGTTCAGCTAAAGGAGAAACTTTCAGTTAAGAAGAATAAGAATATGTTGTTAGGAAGTAGAATTAATTACCATTAATTCTAAAATATTTCTTCCACAGTACCTTATGTACAAGATTTCAGTGAGTATTTACTCTATGGGAAGTCTGCATTGTTAAGACCAGTAGGGACAAAAACAGGCAGGACACTGGGCACTAAATTTCTTGAAGGTTCTATTTAACAATTTAATTATAACTCAAACTAATGGATTTTCTGTATATTCCCAAAAATCATTTTATACTTTTTTATTTTTTTTAAGTACTTTAATTTTGGAAGGATTCACTGTATTTGTCACATATAACAGGTTGAATCCCTCCTTGAAGTGTAAAACTTACCTCACTATTAACTCTGGAGCTATGACCATCATGTTCATAATTAGGTTTGGCAAACTCTCTCCACCCTCTCAAAGACTGAAGTGTGCAATGATGTGAAGCTGACAGTTCTGTTATCTTGTGCTAAGGCATTTCAGCTGTTTTAGGAGTTCCCTATTCAGCTTCTTTTAGCTGACCTGTTTTTATAGAACTTTGTTTTAACAATCACACTGTCTCAGAGCAGGTAGTATATGGATAGAGGAGAATGGAAATCATGATGTGGGCTAGTTCTGCACTTTCTTAAACCCTTGCTAAGGTGAAGAGGCAACTAGATGTTGATTACAAATCATTTAATGGACTGCAGCCATAGAGGCCTTGTTGGTGCATTAGCCTGTGTTAATCTGCCCCAGTTCCTGCCTGCCTAAGCCCCATTCATTAAGTCGTAGAAAAGATGTGGACGGGAAAAAAGATTTTTGTCTAATAAAATGCTATTTAATTTAGAAAAAAAATAGTGGATTATTCTCTTGGTGTGGTATTTAAAATTGACACAGTAACTAGGATGATATCATTTGGATATTTAGATGTCTTGCATTGAATTTTAATTTAATTTGATATAATATACTCAGACATTAAGCTTCTTTAGTCCTGTATTTCACTCAAACCCAGATAACGCAGCTATGCTAATGGATAGGATGCTTCCTGATTTTCAAATTAAATTAATAAACTAGTAAATTAAATAAAGGAAACATTGTTTAGCACAAAGATTTAGCAAATCTGAAACTAAAAGAAATTCCATGACAGCTTAATTCTAGTTTGGGCCTGTTACACTGAAGATAGAGAGAGGCTCTGGAAGCTCTTTAAAATATGAATTAATTAGGCATGACATCACCCGTGGAGGTTGAATTATATGGATTTAAGAAGTGTTACACCGAGGCACAAAGAGGTTATAGATTTGCCCCAAAACGACCCAATGAGCAAGTGGTAGAGCCAAGAATACAGCCAGAAATTCTCACACCCAGCCCCCTGTTCTAGCCACATACACCATATCCCCTTGCATCTCAGCCATGATAATCTAGCTTTATATTGTCATTTCTATGTAAAAACAGGACATATACAATATAGTCAAACGTACTCATTTTAGTGTCAAGCTTAAACAGATAAAGAAGATGGGAAGGGCTGAGGTCCTCTAATCTTTCCACACTCCACAGTCTCCAGAAATAGATTGCGTGGGAACCATGTTTTTCTGCTGTAGAGATTTTGCTACTTTAGGGTGGACTTTTGCATAAGCTAAGTAATGCAGATGCATATTTTTCTGCATCCGTAATAGAAGTTAAATACAGAGTTTGAAGTTATTTTAATCTGTGACACCCAACAAAGCAGATATTGTTCCTTGCTGTTATGTTTTTGGTTCTTTTGATGACTGTGTTCACCAGAGTAGCTCACTCATCTTTGCTTTAAAAATTGGAACAGAACCTCACTCCAAATGCAGATGAATAGGATTTCAGTGGGTTTCCACCATATAGCTCACCTTTGAAATGTTTTCTTCCTCCTTTTAGGATATGAATTCAGTGTTTAAGACTGTGCTAGACTTGACATATCCAATAACCTCCATGTTCTCTGGAGCCTCATTTAACAGTGGCATCAGCAACATCTTCAAAGACAAACAGATTGAGGTAACTTGCTTGTTTGCTATAATGTGTAATAAATGTTCTCCTCCTGTTGAACTGTAATAGAAAGGTTTGTTTTTTCTATGCTCGTAATAGTTTAGGTATTCTGGCCTGATGTACAGCCTACTGTAACTATTAACTTAACATTGCACCAGCCTGGGGGGGGAGGATTTACCTTTAATGCCATTTTAATGGAATTTGGACCAACCATGTGTTTAATCACGTCTGTTTGTATTGCCAATTAAACCTGTTTGGCTGAGAGCCTGAGTCAGGGCCATGTCACTCACTGCTGGGTTGTGCCTCCTTTTGGTGTTCTGGGGATTAGCTCTGCCCAATTCAACGCCCCCTTCCTTCTCTTCCACTGTCTGCAGCTCTCCTCCCATTCACAGCTTCGCAGCACAGCTGCTTTGTGACTCAGCCCTCCAGCCAGGTCACACTGTAATTCCCCTCCCAGTGGGGAGTCCTTCAAAGTCTTTCTGCTCATGTGCGTCAGGCAGTCCTCCTCATGCCCACAGCCTTGACCCTGTCACTCCTGCAATGACCCAAGCAGTCTTCTAGTTCGCTGCCCCAAGCAGTCCTACTCTGCAGTGGTTGGTAGGAGAACTCAGGCCCGCCCTCTACTCTGGGTTACAGTCCAGGGCCTTGTAACAAGTGGTTGAGGTCTGCAGGGCACCCACCTTACTGCTCTAGCCCCTGGACTACTTCCTACTGTGTTTCTCCAGGCCGCCTAATCAGATCTGTCTAAGGCCTACTAGGTCTCAGGGGTTCTTCCCTGCTCCAAGGAGAGAGGCTACAGACTTCCTCCCTGCTGCCCCCTTACACTTTTGCCAGCCTCCTGGCTTTATAGAAGCCCCTGGCTGATCCCTCACAGGTGTCCTCCTTTCTAATCAAGGCTCTCCAGCCTAATTCCACCTCATTTGCTGCTTAATTGGCTGATTGGGCCTGCCTAGCCTAATTCAGCTCTCTCAGGTTCGGTGTGGGGAGTACATCTGATCACAAACCTAAATGGTTTTTCACTATTGTCTTTCTAGTCCAGTTGGTAATTCTTTTAAACTAGTCTCTCTTCTGGAAGAAGAGTTTGCATAACTATTTGAGATGCATTCCACAGAAAGGGCTTAAAAAAGTGCAGTGAACATTTTAAAATGTGCATTGACTTTTTAAGAATGACCACATTGAATGTTAAATAAACCCATTTCTGCTCTTTGTATTGTAGGTCAGGACCTTTTTTGTCATTTTTAGGCACTGTGTAGGATGCCTGTGAAACTACTGACATGTGAAATGTCACCTCATCCTCCACTGTCACCGTCATAAAGCACATGATTAAAAACTCTCCTCCCAGCTACCCCAATCAGGGGAGCATTTGTCTCGTTCTGGGGTCGTATCCCATTTTGCTCTACTGTAATCCATATACCTGCGTGTTTGTCAGAGATGCTTCTCTGAACATGAGCTCCCAGTGCAACGCCTTGGCCAAAGGGCTAATACAATCCTTAGATGTATAAATGGGAATCTCGAATAGGAGTAGGGAGGTCATATAACCTCTGTTTTTTGGCACTGGTGCAGCCACTACTGGAGTACTGTGTCCACAATTCAAGAAGGATGTTGATATATTGGAGAGGGTTCAGAGAAGAGCCACAAGAATGATTAAAGGAATGGAAAACCTGCCCTATAGGGATAGATTTAAGGAGTTCAATCTGCTTAGCTTAACAAAGAGGTTAAGGGTGACTTGATCACAGTCTATATGTACCTACGTGGGAAACAAAAATTTGCTAACAGGCTCTTGGATCTAGCAAAGAAAGGTACAACACAGTCCAATGGCTGGAAGTTGAAGCTGGACAAGTTCAGACTAGAAATAAAACGTATATTTTAAAAATGAGGTTAATTAATCATTAGAACAACTTACCAAGGGTCATGGTGGATTCTCCATCAATGGCGATTTGTAAATCAAGACTGGATGATTTTCTAAAAGATCTGCTCTAGTTCAAACAGGGATTAATTCAGAGAAGTTATGTAACTTGTGTTATACAAGAGGCCAGATTAGATGATCTCAATGGTCCCTTCTGGCTTTGGAATCTGTGAATCTATTTGGAATCCTCTTGGTATCAGACTATGTTTAATAAACAGCTTTTTTTAAATGTACTGCATCATCTGGAATATTCACTTTGGTTTCTATGCCGAGCTGGGAACTGAATCACCTTGGGTGGTTTTAAACAGTGTTTACAATAATGTGTTGCCACCCAGAGTGGATGGGGCCATGAATAAACAGGTGTTTAACGATTAAATGATAATGCTCTTTGGGGCTGGAACTGCCTTTATTTTTGTGTATTATACAGGCACCAAGTATTTGCTGGTTCTTAATAATAGTTCATAAAACATATTGATATTATTGTGATCTAGCTTAGTGGGATCTCATCTGATTCTAAGCTTGGCTTAACCATAGGAAAATATGGACTATTCAGTGAGAGGAATGAAACCGTTGGAACAGCTAGAGAGCTTGTTACTGCAAGGTGCTGAGTGCTTTGGAGGCACCTTTTGCTCCCAGGAAAGTCAGTGAGCGTTGACAGCACCCAGCACCTCTTAGAAGCCCTTTGTGCATTGCAGCATTCAGTCCCAAAGAGAATTGTTGAATGGAGCTTTGAAGAGAAATGGATGATGGAATGAATGGGGGAAAATACACTTGGATCTGGGGTGAAGTTCTGGCTCTATTGAAGTCATTGGCAAAGCTCCCATTGACTTCAGTGGGGTGAGGATTTCACTGCGGTGTGCTATGTCAGAATTACATGCAGTTGTGATGTAGCATGTCTCTTGCATACAGGGTGTCATTAGAAAATGTCACATTTTAGAGTCTCCATCTCTGCTCTGATTTCCTGGGCCTTCCTGTGTTGAAGAAAAGAAAATGTTTTATGTAAGGAAAAAAACAAATCTAAAGCATGAGCTTGTGTATCTTTAGCTGAGCCTAGTGTTGTAGGCCAAGTCCTGGACTCATTTCTCAGGGTCTGAAGAAGTATCGATGTCGGAGGTGGTAAGACTTCCACCAAAAAGTGAGGAAGAAAACTCCCCCTTCCTCCGTCCCCAGCAAGTTACACCATATACATCAGCTGTCACCACCTCAGAAATAGACACTGATGCAAAATGGAAAGCTATAGACCCCATCTACCCCTTTATCACTGTTATACCTGTCCTACAGACAGACACAAATTAACTTTGCCAGCACTTGTTCATGACTCATGCCAGTAAAGACATTGAGACTGAAAAATGAGTATCTGTAGGGATGTCTCCTAAAAGTAACAGTGAGACTTGCACTAAGGAGGACTCCCACTGGGCAAACCCTTGTCTTACAGGATTATTTCAAAGCATCCCCAAAGTTTCCAATATAATTTTGTTTGCCCTTTAAAAACTCACTTCTACTTGGCATTCATATTTTCTCCTCTGTAATTCTGTAAGATGGGTTTTGCTGTCAAGAGTGCTAATGCTGGAGATTAACATAACTCCAAAAGGAGTAAGTACGGCTTTTATAAACATAGGTTCTGGATCTGCTATATCCTATATTGTACATTAAGAATCTCAAACGCCTTCTTATTTTCCTGGAAATACTATTTCACTAGTATTAGGAAAAGAGAACATGGCTTTTCATCCCAGTTGGTTATACATTAAGTGTTTGCTTTAGAGCTAGATTTTTAGCCACCCACACAGGGCTGGCATTTTCATCTCTGTGTGCAGGCATTTATGCGTGTATGTCCCTGTGTTAAAATTGCTTGTCAGCTTACATCCAGGGTTACTGATGACTGTAAAACTGACACTTCCTATATTGCAGGATCTGTGGATTCCTTATTTCACTATCACGACTGACATTACTGCGTCAGCCATGAGGGTCCACACAGATGGTAAGTGTGTCCAGTCTTCTGCAGGAAAGGGTGTGTCTCTGAGCTTGCAGTGATGTTTGAATGCCAGGCTTTCTGTATAGTTTCATTCCTTTCCATCCCTTTACTTTTCCTTCCTCCTTCTCAGTGCTACCTGCTGAACACCAGGATCCACAGTTGCACACAGGTAACAAGAATCTATAGCACCTGGAGGAATTGAAACAGGCGAGATGATTCACTGCATGGAGTGTAAATTAGTTCATGGACACCAGTGTGTTCATAAAAACATGCATGGAATACAAAAACTCCCCCATAAATCAAAATTAATTGTAAAAATCATGCATTTAAATAAAAGCCCTCGTGAATGTAGCTGTTCTCCCCAGGAAGAGACATGGGGTCAGATGCTTATTTACAATCAGGCCCCTTTATTGCTCTGGCACTAGGCTGTCTTACATTGCCAAAGCAGTGTAAAAGGGTCTCAGGGTAAATGAGCCCATTGGTTTGTTGACCGTTTTTGCTGATGCAATATTAGTTTCACCTCTGTTTGGCTCCAGGTTATTGTCCTTTTCTGTGGTTTTTCCCAAAACCATTTAAAAATATGGCTGAGTTCTCCCTGCTTCTTTTAAACTGGGCTGTTGGAGAACTTGCCTCTCAGTAGGGAAGTGACAAACTTGCAAGTATGCTACACCAAGCTGGAGTGTTCCAAGACAATAGATTAAAATTTAGCCACTACTCAGAGCACAGTGCTCATTTTCTATACTGAGCAGGTGATTTTCTCTTTGAAAGAAAATAGTGACAAGTTTTGCACTTTACCAGCCATTGCACCATGTAGCTTTGATCACTTCTGTTCTTCTCAGTAAAACATACCCGTCTGATTCCCATGTCTTCCTTCTAAACACGTACAATAGCAAAGGGATAAGAGAAAGCTGTGAGCTTTCCCTTTTAGTTCTCTCATTCATCATTCCCTTGCGGTCTCCTCTTCTAGGGGATCATAAACAGGGGCGGCTCTAGGCACCAGCAAAGCAAGCACTTGCTTGAGGCAGCCCATTTGCAGGAGCAGCAGGGATGCAGCCTGGGAGCTGTAGTTCCTTGGTTAGCTCCCTGCCTATAGAGCCAGCCCTGGAGCAGGGAAAGAACTACATTTCCCAGCATTCCCTTGGCCACTACCAACAGGAAAGAGGGGGAGGGAGTGAGATAGCTGAGACCTCATGCTGCAGCCTGCTGTGAATGGAGAGCTGCACTGTGCGTAGGGATAACATATTTTAACATTCAAAAAATAGGACACTCCACAGGGAGGGAGGGTAGCCCCCCTCCCGGGACCCCTGCCCCTAACTGCTCCCCAGGACCCCACCCCCTATCTAAGCGCCGCTGCTCCTTGTCCCCTGATTGCCCCCTCCTGGG